GGCCATGAATTAATGACGCGCGGCTTGATTACAGAGTCACGACAATTGCTTCGTGTTTAACAGAGCAACTGTTCCATTACCTATTAATGGGAGCTGCCAAACAAGGAGGCTGTTTATGCCGCCAGGCACGGCAAGCAGCGCTTAGTGCGCACGCATTACAAATTAGCGCCGCTTCGTTTATTTAAATCGTGAGTAAAAAAAAAAAATCTATATATAAAAGAGTTTCATTCAACTCGCTCAAGCAATAATTATAAAGTGTAACTCCTCCACGGACCGGGGCTGCTGGGTAGCTGCGTAGCGGATTCGATGCGGGCGCTCTCGCCAAGTAAGACAAAGGTGGGCTGGTGGTGTGGGGTGGTGGTGGTGGGGGGGGGGGGTCCAGCCACCTTGCCCCCCCCCTCGCCACCCCCCCCGCCCCCGTAAATCATCGTGAGACGAGTCGACCTCGTTAGCGCGTGAATTATCGTCGGGTCTCAATCGCCGAGGCCACGTTGGTGCAAAGCGAGGAGGAGGCTCGGATGCAGCGGTGAGGGGCGACGGGGGTACGGGGGGGGGACGAACACGCACACACACACACGGTATGTGCACCACGTACGTACGGCATGCGCACGAACAGCACCGGGGCGGGCTCATGCACAGTGCGGTGGTGGCCACAGGCAAGGCGGACAGGCACATGAGACTACCGCTAGGCGACTTGGGCGGGTAAGTAAGCGATAGCGCTCACCGTGTGGGTAAGGTGAGTGGCGTGAGTGGGTGGGTGGGTGTGCGCGCGTGTGTGGGTAGCGCAGGGTAAGGGGATGGGGGGCAGCTGGGGGTGGAGGGGGGTTGAGTGGGTACCTCGACTCTTTGAGGGTGTGGCACTTTAGTGTGCTTGTTTGTTTGTTTGTCTACGTAACTCGTGTGTCTCTCTCTCTCACGGCGTTGTTGTGACGGAGGGGGAAGGAAAACAAAGATTAGGGTGAAACACACCAACCTGGTCGCAGCTCTGGGGGGGTTGTGAGTGTTGTTGAGTGATGGTGGTGGGGGGTGGGGGGCAGTAGGGGGGGGGGAGACGGGGCCGGGAAGATCGAATGCGCAACGAAACGAAAATGACGGAAGGGCAGGAAGAGAAGAAATAAAAGAGGAGAGGAGAGAGGAAAACAAAGAAAGAAAGAAAGAGAGGGGAAACAACAGAGAGAGTAAAACAGGCCGATAACAGGGCACATCGCACGTGGGGGCCACGTCGGCACGGCTCCACACGGCCACGACATCATCGACAACATCATCATCATCATCACCGTCACCATCATCGACATTATCACAACCGTCACCACCGTCGTCATCGTCATCATCATCCTCGCGTGCGCTCGTGGTGTTCGGGCCGTCCGGCGTCATGCTCCGCGTGCTGGCAGCTTTGTTCAGGAACGGAAATGCGCGGAGCGAACTGTTGGACGCGGAGGTCACTGGGTGGGGGGCACGGTGGATGGGGGTACGGTGGGTGGGGGGCACGGTGGGTAGGGGGCACGGTGGGTGGGGGGCGCGTGGAGCAACGCGATAACGCAACGCATAGACAGACGCTTCGTACAGTAACTACCCTGTAGACACCTACAGAGTGGGTTACCCCCCTCTCTCCTCTCTGCACATTCGGTGAGCCGTGCAAACGGGGGTTGGCACCGGCGGCGGTGGTTGGCGACTGTTGTACAATTTTTGAACTTCTTTCGCACCCCACGTCGCCAACCGTGCTAATTGGAGGCACAGTGATGGTGGTGGTGATGGCGGCGTGGGGGAGAGGAGGAGAGAGGGCACCAAAATGAGATGCGCAGGCAAAGCCGGCCTAATGGGAATGTCTCATTACTCATCATTTTGCACAAAGTCGGTTAGCCGCACGTGAACAATAAATGGACAGGAACGCACGTCCACACAGAGCTCTCTAATGAGGCCAACTCGAGCCGTTTGGTCCAAATGGGCAGCCTGGAATTGCAATCCTGGACTTCAAATCCAGAGATTGCCAGTTTGGCTACATCTCCCGGCACGCTAGTGAAACCAATAAGGCAACGTTTTTTTAATCAATTTCGTGGAAAAATAACAGCAATGCTGTCGTACTTATAAATGACGGGGGCCTCCCCTCCTCCTTATCGCACGGCTGTGATAATGTCGGGAGGGAGCGCCGACGGTTTGCGGGACGTCGGAACGCACCTCCGGCGCTGTCTGGGGCTGTTATGGTTGCAGATGTTTCGCGCCGCCTCTGAAGGAGTGGGACGATCGTCGTAGAGGGGGGGGGGGGGCGCTCGGCTCGTTAGCGGGGCTATCGGAGCGGGGATGATCGCGATGTCTCCGCGCGCCGCACCCGCCCCCCCCCCACGCGTCTCCAATTTAAACATTTCGGGCAGAGGCGATTAAAAGAAAAAAAAACCTCTAAATAAACCACCATCGCAAATTCCATTCTGCCTCACTTGAGATACCACTGAGCAGAAACACAGCTTCTTTCACACGTGCGATTTCGCCTCGACGCACGCACAGGCAGAGTTCCCCCGCATAGTCTACACAGGCTGTCGGGGCAAGTGCTGCTGGCGAGTATCACCTATGAAGGCCGGCACGGCGCAACGAGGCGGTGGCGTGCCCACAGCACGACGCCTTTGATTCCCCAGTGCTGATAATTAGCGCACTGGGTAATAATTTAAGGCTGAGTCGACAGAGGGGACGCCGAAGACTGGTTCAGATAAACGCATCACTGATGATGGCCGGAGGAAAGAATTGCACCTTCGACCTGTCTACGGATAGAACACTTGATGATGATAATCTTAGCCACGGATGGGAATCCAACTTTGGACGTCTGCTACATGGTGAAATTCGCTGCACACACACACTCACCCACCTAACCATTGATCCCAGAAACCTCGTCTCTCTGTGTTAACAGACCCTCGCGATGGAGAACAAAAACGAGAGTACAGTGCGATGCCGTCACCACGCGCCCCCTAAACTGCATCGCCGAGTAGCCCCGCGGACGCCGCCGGCCGGCAGGGCGAACGAAGCTGGCAGGTCAAGCTCTGGCCAAAGTGTTGAATTTTCTCGTGCAGCAAAGCGGTGGATCTCTCCGGACACCCGCGCTCTCTGCTGCTCGAGCCGGCGGTGCGGTGGGTTGGCGGAGGAGGGGGTAAGGTGGAGACGGTGGTGATGGCGGGGCGGGGGGTTTGCTGCCTTCAGCGGCTGCACCAAATACATTTAATTGGCTTGGCTCTTTGTTAAATTTTGCGGCCAGCACTGTGAGCGCGAATGGCGGGGGGGGGCGGCAGGGGGGGGGGAGAAAGGCAGCCATGCATTTTTCATCGTCGGTAGATCACGGCCGAGGAGCGCTAGCACCACGCTGGGTTCGCTACTCGTCGCCCGATTTTGTTGAGGGGGAAGGGGTGGGGGGTTACGCAGCGCGTGCCAGCGACTACACGGTAGACAACGGGAGACCCGACAGGAGATCGTCTTAAGGAAGATCGCGGGCAGCCAAGGGAAGCGCTAGGAGCGTCGAAGAAATTCGGGGCAGAGATGGGGGCCGGCCGCATTCGCATCCGCGCTGCCGCCACCGCCCTCTCCGCGCGGCTAACACAGCCCCCGGGGGACTGCGTTCGCTTCACGTCTCTCCGAGCGGCGATCGGGGAAACTGAATGCGAGGGCTCCCGGCGCGTGCTTTGTTCACGACAAACGCGCTCGCCGCACTTGTCGCTGTTTGCTAGACGGTTCGTGGTCGCGGCTCCTTCCCGAGTCACACGACGAGTTTACTCTCCAGGGCTCTCGCTCCGTTCTATGCCCTCCTCCACCAGCTGCCTGCGCAGTGCTGCCCCCCAAGTCCCTTTGGATCCATTTACTCCATGCTGCCCCACACCATTAATCCACTCCATGCCGCCTGCCGTCATCTCTGATCTCCATGCTGTAATTGGCTCTCTGCTGCCCTGTGTCTTATAGTTGTCCCACGCTGCCCCATGCCATTTATCATTCCCATGCTGCCCCATGCTGCCCGATGGCACGTATGAGTGCCACGCTGTCCCCCCCCCCCCCCCCGTGTTGCCCAACATGCCTTGGCTAGCTGCACGTGACAGCGAGTCGGCGCGCTGGGGGGTGGAGCGCTTCATTAGGCACTCTAAGAGATGTGTGTGTGTGTGTGTTTGGGATGTGTGTGTGTGTTTGAGATGTGTGTATGTGTCTGTTTGAGATGTGTGTGTCTGTTTGAGATGTGTGTGTGCTTGAGATGTGTGTGTGTGTTTGAGATATGTGTGTGTGTGTGTGTTTGAGGTGTGTGTGTGTGTTTGAGATGTGTGTATGTGTGTGTTTGAGATGTGTGTGTGTGTGTGTGTTTGAGATGTGTGTGTGTGTGTGTTTGAGATGTGTGTGTGTTTGAGATCGGAGCTCGCTCCGTCGGCAAGCTGAACATTACCGGATTTAGTCAGCGGTGCGTAATTTTACAACTCATGAGTGCCTCTCTCTCTCTCCATCGCTGCCGCCGTGCGAAAGAGCACATTTAGTAAATTAGGGAGAAATATGCTATTTGAGATCGTGCCTGCTGAGCGAGCGCTCGTGATTGTGGCCGCGTCGAGGAGGGCTGGAGTACGCGCTGATATTGAAATAGTACACGGTCGCAGGCTCCGCGATGCTGCCCTTCATCCTCCTCCCCTCCACTACCAACTACCACAACAACAACCACCATCATCATCACAACCACCACCGCGTGCACAAGCGTCGAGGAGTCGTCGGTCGCACTCGCCCCACTCGTGTCTCGCCCCTCGGCAAAGGTCACCGACCTCCACGGCGAGACTCGCGGCGGAGCTGCAAACAACACGGCGCGCGGAAGCAGCGACGCCAACGCCAATCGACCGACGCAGTTAGAGCAGCGGTGGTGGCGGCGGCTCCGTTGGCCACCACGCCATTCCCATTCTCCCCGATCGGGCCGAGAGAGTGACGGGGTGGGGGAGGGGCGCGGGGGGGGGGGGGGTCAACGGACGGGGTCCGGGAGGTCAAGGCGGAAGGCTCCATACCTCTCACGTAGAGGTTGGCGGGAGCCGAGTAGACCGTGCCGACGTCGTTCGACGCCACGCACTCGTACTTGCCCTGGTCCGAGTCCTCGCTCAGGTCAATCTGCAGGGCACCTGCGGTTCGCGGATGGTAACGGGGACAAGAGTGCAGGAGGGGGGGGGGGGGTCCGGGGTCAGCGTGGTTTCACGCGTGATGGCGGCGGCGTCACGTTCACCGTCGTCATCGAACGGTCATTGACGTGGAGCCATTGAATGGGAGTTCCCCCCTCCCCTGTCCAATTCCCCCCCCAACCCCCGCCCTCCATAGCCTCCTGCCTGGGCTCCTCCACACTTCACTGCTACGCCAACTGCCTCGGGGACACGGGGCACGCTACCCAGAGTGGGCCCCGTCTCCGTGAGCCACGCGGCTGCAGAGCCGGCGACCAGGACGTTCCCACCAGCACCCCCCCCCCCCCCTCCCACGGAGGTCAACAGGAGCTGCACCACTCTTGCAAGGGTTTAAAGGTCATGGTGCGGGGCTGCTACGACGAGTGGGGAGAAGGGTGGGGAGGGAGAGAGGGAGAGCGGTCGGCCACCCGGCGCTCGCTCCGAGACCGAGCTGGCCTCACGAAAAGGGAAGTCAGAAGCGCAGAGCGGCGAGGGACGTGCTCCGCTCGGCGCGCGTCCCCATGCTTTCCGTCCGAACAATTTTAAACATTTCCTGTGAGCGCAGCATGGAGCTTGGCGGAACACAGCGCAACCGCGCTGGTTAATATTTGTTTCCGAGCTCCCCGCGAGATGTTTACTGGCTCTCTCTCTCTCTCTGTCTTTCACAATTTTCCCCTCTTTAAAGATTTTTATTTTGGCAGCCTCCCGTGGTGTCCGCGCTGCCTACGCGCTCCTCGCCGCCGCTAAGAGGAGCGTGACGCTGGGTGGCCTTCGCTTAACGAGACCTTTTTAGGCGGTGGTGTGACAGGACGGACTCGCTCCGGACCCCGCTACCCCATCGCCCCGGTACATCCGCGTCAAGCCACGAGACTTAAGATATCCATTTAGATCCGGTGCGGATCAGTGTGGGTCTGACGTGCTAGAGAATGGCCAACGGAGGCGGATATCACAGGGTTACCTCCGAGAACCCTTCAAAAAGACTCATGGTCAACACGGCAGAGGGCAGACATATCCCAACCCACTCGGCCGAAGAAAGCAATGTTCATCGAATGGATATGCAAGTGGGTATTTTATTTTTTAACGCCCACAGCTATACTTTAGCTAAATTAAGTGTAGAAACATTGAATGTGGGTGGGTAAATGTGCCGTTGAGCGGTTGGAGCGATAGAGCGTCGTGAGTGATGGGGGCTGGGGGGAGGGGGGATGTGGGGGGGGGGGGTCTGCCGGGCATGGCCCAAGGAGAGTCCTGGGCCATGTTCAGAGCCTCTTGAGCCACACAGCAGGGTCACTCGGCTACTGATAGTCTCATGGCACCCTTTCTAAAGTAGTGATGATAATGGTCACAATAATCTCCCCTCCCCTATTCGGAAAACACGGGGAAAGTAAATCAACAAATGCGAACATTTCCTCAGCGCAAGTCATTTTGAAAAAAAAAATTTAACTAAGAAATCCGCGTGGGGCAATTCATTTCCTATTGTAATAAAAGATGAAATAGCCGAGGCCTTTTCTGTGAATTTGTCAATTATTGTCGTACGCATCCCAGAAATGGGATTCTAAAGATGAACATTATATTTCCCCCCGCTGTACTTCTCCTTTAATGAAACGCGCAGGACAAATTGGTTTGGGGTTGTGGGGGATTGCGAAATATATATAAAGTAATTTCTGGAGACTGGAGGCAATGTGAAAGCCTCGATTTATATATATGTGAAAAAGCTACTCTTGGAACTAATGTCACATTCCATATATTTTTTTTTGCGGAATAAAAAAAAGGTCAGAACGATGCAGGCAAAAAAAAAATCGGTTCATTTCCGAGCGACCGTTGCTAAAAATCCATTTCATGAAAACTGAGCAACGCGGCGATTAGAAGCGGTGGAGGTCACATTGAACAGGGATAGGGAAATTGGTTTTTAAAAGTTGACGATGATTTTTTTTTTAACATACAAGCACCAGGGAGGTTTCTGGCATGTGTGGCGGGCGGTAGCTGGGGTTGGGGGGGGGGTAGAGGGCGATGGGTGCCCATTTATAACATAAGCACGTTTAATTCACCCCCCCACGTGAATCATGAGTGGCAAGGAAAAAAGCACGCAAAAAAATCGATGCCACGGCCGATCAATCGCTTCCAAAAAAAATTTAATGGTAATGTGCGTCGAAACGCGCGATGCTTTCGTGTTGCTTTGAAATACGCTCCGCGTTTATAGTTGAGCAATTTAGCGAGGTGGCATTTGTTTTAGTGCGAGAGGATTAATTAAAAACGCGTTTGGAAAAAAAAAACCCGCCATGAACCGAGGTGAAAAGTTCGTGCCGGAGTTTTCTCGACGACAGAAGTGGCGGAAGGCTCCACTTCCTCGCGATATCACCGGACGCTGCTGCCTTTGTGTCACCACCGCCACCGCCACCACACGAACTGGGGCCAGGGATCGGCAATTATTTACCCAGGAAAGTTTCACCGAGGCTCAGGGCCATTTTCAGGTGGGTCCTTGTTTGGCCAGTTCCATTAATGATTGAGCTACAAGTGTGGGGCCGCTGGGTGTTAGTGTGGGTCTCTGTCTAGGCTTCCTAGAGTGGTGTTGCAGCGGTCAGTGCGCAGCGCTACAAACCTGCCGACCCGAATTCCGATTCCCACTCACGGCCACCAACACCAGTGACGATTATCTCAACTGGTCCTGGGCCTCCCCTACGTCGACTAAATGAATACCTGGCGGAGTGTGCAAAAGCAATTCAACTGGACTGGTTCTGGCCTTCATAGGTGCTCCTCGCGAACAGCACTTGTCCCAACAGCCTGTGAAAGGCTATACGGGGGACATTTGTCTTTGTCTGCTTAGGCCTCCTGTCGAGGTCACTTCAGTCAGCGTGGCACAACACAGACGTAAATAGCGCGTCGGTGTTCGTGCTCCTGTCGTATCGCTCTGCGATGCACTTCCGGGTCGACCCGACGTGCCGACGTTTCACTGCGCGTGCGATTCGGTTCCCGAGGAAGCTCCCAGCACGTTCGAGCGAAACGTCGAGACATCGTGTCAAACGGCGCACGGCGCGACCCGAAAACGCGTGTGTGCGTGGGCATATGGGTGTGTGGTTGCGTGTGTGCGTGGGTAACTAAACAGTGGCCCGCAAGCGCTCGCGACGTCGACGGGGAGGAAGCGCGGAAACGTGGGCACGCACGCAACTCACTGACTCACTCACGTGCTCACTCACGCACCCACTCACTCACGCGTTCGTGCTCATGCACGCACAAATGCACGCACACACGCACTCAGCTGCACTAACCGCTCAGTGGTGACAACGCTCACACGGCGGAGGAAGAAGGGCACAGGGATGGCCGGTGGTGGTTGTGATTGAAATCGTTGGTGGTTGTGGTTGGGATCGGTGGTGGTTGTGGTTGGAATCGGTGGCAATGGCGGTTGTGGTGTGAATCGAAAGCCATGGCACGTGACAGCACGCGGTGCGTGGAGGCGGCCTTACCTCTGATGGGGCCACTGCCTGGGTGTACGAAAGAGAAAATGAATAAACAAAAAGAAAACAGAAATAGGAGAGAGCGTTAGAGCAATTCGACAATTGTTAGGGGGCAGAGGTCGCTTTAGCAACCACCATGGGGGGAAGGGGAGGGTGGCTGCTGGAGGAGGAGGGTTCGTGGACGTTTATTCCAGGCGATGGACATTGCCACCCCCCTTTTGGACAGACTATGCCCGTCGCAGTTTCTTTACCTCTAAGATTGTCGCGGTTACCAAATGCGCTATATAGATACGTCGCAATTAACGGGACGTCGGCCAAGTCGCGCGACTATTCATTCGCCGTGGACGCGCGGTGCGACTGCCGTCGTCGGAATCGCCGCTGGCGATTGTTTTCGAAACAAAAAATCCTCCTTTGACTTCCACGGAACCTGGCCTCCTCCCGCGGTCGCCACGACCGCCCCTGGCTCCCGAACCCCGAGACACAAGCAGAAGGAAACTCGCGAGCACCTAGCGTAGGCCGCACGAGTCGGGACGCGGGGAACGCGGGTGCGGGGGTCGGGTAGGGTCGGTCAGGGCAGGGAACTTGCGAAGGAGGAAGGTAAGGGTAGGATCGGGTGGTGGGGGGGGGGGGGAAGGGTGTTGGGGTTAGCTGGTGCTGCTAGTGAAGGAGTGCCTGGCAGCTATGACCCCGATCTCAGAATCAGAATCTTTACTAACACCAGAGGAATCCGATGAGTTATGAAGCTCTTTTCCACGGATGTCTGGACCCTGCCTCGGAGGTGCCCTGTGGAAGGCGCTCACTGTCCACGCTTGCCGGTCGGTCAATAAATTGGGAAGCCGCATGGCAACTTCCCCCCCCCCCCAACTTACTGGCAGAATCGGCAAAGTGACGCAATTCCCGGGGATGCATCAAGGATACTTGCATTGTCTTCGCCTTGTGGCGTGCTCTGGTCTACGCACACCGGTGGTGAGACAAGGCCACGAAGAAGAAGGCCGTCTCTGGTGTAGGCCAATCAGTTCCCAAGACAACGGGTACATGGGTCGTCAGAGAATGTTTGTTTGCATGTTTCTGCAGGCGAGTATGTGTGGTTAATGCAGAAGATATCTTACGCACCGTTTGAACATTTTAACAGCTGTTTATTGCCAGAAAGTGTCAAACCTTAATCTGATTTCTCATCATCCTGCGTCGGTTTACTCCGCCTAACGCTTAGTAGATCGACGAGAGAATTTTTTTTATGACGACTTTGGAAAGATCCTGTATCCCGGCCGAGTGGCTCAGTGGAAGAGCCAGTGGCTCGCGATTGAGAAGGTCGCGAGGTCAAGTCCAGGTTAGGAGGAGGGGGGGGGGGGCGGATGAAGGGGGGGGGGTTGACTCAGCTCATCATCCCTCCAGGGTCGATGCAATTCGTGCCACCACTCTGTGAGCAAGTCAACAGTGGTTATTGTCCTATGAATAGACTTGTCCCGACCACAGGAATGTGGAATTTCCAGCACTGGCTCAGGGCTGTAAACGGGAGATGAGTGCAGCCTCAATGCTCAGTTGAGCAGGATCTCACTTTGACTTTTTAAATCCTCTCAAGTAGGTCGATTTGGCCCGGGGTCTATCGACTTTCTAAAGTTTTTGTTTGACCTCCAACCAGAAATTGTCTCGCGACCGCCCCCACACTCCCGCGGCCGCCCTCTCTCAATATAAACGGCCTCTCGCAATCGTAGCAGTGACATCTTCTCTCGAGAATGCCCCCCTCTTCCTCCTCCTCCTCCAGGAAGACGGGGGCGATTGTTGCTAAGCTAATAATTACCGCTTGTCAGCTGCCGCTTAATTACACACACACACTCGTGCGCGCGCGCCGCCCGACGGGAAATGCCGCGGGGTTTTTTAGCGTCGGGAAAATTCTGCGGCGGCGGCGGTGGCGGCGACGCTAATCCGCTTTGCCCCTCCGCTCAGAGGCGCAGGGGTGAACTTCACACGGGAATACGGGGACCTGCCCCCCCCCCCGGCCCCCCACGATTCCCGATGGGTGACGTGCCGAGACCCGCTTAGCGATGGACGAGAAGCAGAGTCGGCTGCGGTTTTGAAACGCGGTTGTGGTTGTGGATGCGGTTGTGGATGTGGTTGTGGATGTCGTTGTGGATGTGTTTGAGGATCTGGTTGTGGTTGTGGATGTCGTTGTGGATGTGATTGTGGATGTCGTTGTGGATGTGTTTGAGGATCTGGTTGTGGTTGTGGATGTGGTTGAGGATGTGGTTGTGGATGCGGTTGGATGTGTGCGAGCTGTGTGTCGGCCGTCACGGGCGAGAGCGCCGTGCTTGCGAGAGCCAACAACCAAATCCCCGCCGCGGTTGAGCTCGCTCGCTCGGCTGACTCCGAGCTCGCTCATCTAGGAGTGCACCCGCGAGCATCTCCGTCTGCTCCGGGAGAGTTTTTTTTTTGTTTTGCGACCCACGCTCATCCGCTCGGGGCTCGTTCCAGACCGAGCGAACGAACGCCCGTTGCCAGCGAAATGGAGGCGCGTGCACTCACCAAACGACTCTGAGGACGAGGATGAAATGACAGACGGGGGTGCCGAAAAAAATAGAGAGAGAGAGAAAAGACAGCGTGAGAACAGAAAACAGGCAGGAGTGAAAAAAACAGAAGGCCAATTGTCACCATGACACCCATCGCGCACGAGGAAGGATGACGCGGATGGTGAGGCAGGGGGATGGAAGTCAACCTCACCTCACCTCACCCCACCTCACCCCACCTCACCCGTGTCACCGACAGGGAAGAGCAGCCAGAGGAGGTGGGGTGGGGTGAGGGGGGATACGAAACGCATAAAAATAGAGAACACACACGGAGGTGAAGAAAAGATGCGAAACAAGTCCAACCGACGAAATGAACCAGAGAAGCAGCAGCAGCAGCAGCAGCTGCAGATGGCGTTCGTGAAGGCAGCACTTGGAGGTGCCAAGAGCGGCGCGAGTGAAGGCGGCCCCGGGCAGATCGCACGCACACACAGCCTCTCACACGCTCGCTCGCACACACGCGCACACGCCTGTGCACACGCACGGACGTGCGCACACACGACATACACACACAAGCAGACGCGCTCACGCATGGCACTCTACCCATTATTTCCCGAGGACATTATTGGAGGGGCCAAGCCGCTGCACGTGAACGTCTCGTGCATCGCAGCGGAGTCGCCCGTGAGCCGCGCGTTAGGGATTGCCTGGGAACAAAGACAAAAATCCCCCGTGTAGCCTCAACAGACTGCTGGGGCAAGTGCTGTTAGCGAGCACCTAGGAAGGCCGGCATGGCACACGAGGGGGTGGGTGGCCAACACCACCCCCGGCCGCCTTTGTCTCCCCAGTGGCTGATGTTTACACACCGCACGAGGTGCTCATTTGAGACTGAGTCGACCTAGGGGAGGCCCGTGACCGGTTCAGATATCCATCACTGGTGTTGGCCATAAGCGGGAATCGAACTCGGGTCGCCAGGTTCGTAGCGCAGCGCGCTAACCGCTACACTACCGCCACCCCCACAGCCGCAAGCACGCACACACACACACGCACGCACTCCGCCGTTATGGTCCGTGCGGTCTGCTGCTGGGAGGAGAGCATGGGGAGCAAGGGAGAAGTTGGGTGGGGGGGTGGGAGCAAAGGTGGTAGCAAGGATGTAACCCTCTCCGCAAATGGGTTTTTTCTCTCGCTTCGAGGAGTAAAGGTGACGGGGGGGGGGGGGGAGGTGGGGACCATAACATGGGGGCCGTAGGGGCGATGGTCCTCGATTTGTCTGGGCTCGGACGCCCTCGATGGGTCCGCAAGAGGGAGGCTTTGACTGGAACGCTGGGCCTCTCGCCGCTGGTTGTGTTGGAGCTGTGGCGCTCGGGGCGCTCAGGGTGGTGTGGGAGTGAAATCGCTCCCCCCCCCTCCAATTCCCACCTTCATCACCCGGTACCTTAGCCCCTCTACCCCGTGGGTCCTGGCACAGTAGCGCCACCTGCACGCTGTCTGAACCCCAGGGGAGGCTTAGTCCGGCTCTCCGAGCCTCCTGAATTAACACTGAACCCCTTTGGCAGCCTTAGTCTGGCTCTAGGAGCCGCAGTGATTAACGCCCTACCCAGCGGCCTAGCGCGGTCAACACTGTTCCCTAGGGCCCCCCCCCCAATCCCCTCCTGTCCGATTCCCTCACCCCCCCCCTTCGTAGCCCGGAACCTGAGGCTGTGGGCCCTGAGGCTGTGGGCCACGGGTGCAATTGCACCGCCTGCACCCGCTCGATCGCTGCACCGCTGCTCAATTGGACCACCGGGTTAACCGCGGGGACCTCATGGGTTCCACGCAGGGACCAGCGCTCCTCGGGGTGGGGCGGGGCGGGGCGAGATCGTAAGCGGCGGGGACTCGGGCCGCTTCCTATTGAACCAAAATGATCCGCAATGGAGGGGGGGGGGGGGGGGGTTTGGAGCGGCGAGTTTTTATTTTGACGTTCGCGAAACTTCCAATTAAACTCCGGCTCGGCGAGTGGCGCTCAATCCGTTGTGCCCGCGCATGCTCTCTCATCGCTCGGCGGCACACGGGGGCCGAGCGCGTAATTTCATTCCTTCATTTTAAACGATGGCGGTGACGTTTCATACAAACGCCGTGCTCGGGAGGGGGTGGTGGAGGAGGTGGGGGGGATGGGGATGTGCGGGGGGGGGAGTTTGCGCTTGGCGGTTGGTGGTTACGCACAGCCCAGGCCGTAATGAACTGAGCAGCTCCTGTAATCGTTTTCAATCTTCTCCCCGCGAATTCAATTCTAATGCTCATAGGAAACATAACAACTGGATGGTGGGAGTAGAAAAAAAAATCACATGCGCACGCAAACATAAAAATGAGTTAGGGGATAATTCGAGCACACTCGCTCGCTAATGTAATGAAACAAACAAATAACGTGCGGTAGAACGTGGCGATAAAATGATGGAGCGCCGCTTTCGGGCTTTCACCTCGCGGGCCACGAATTCCCCCGCCTGGGCCTGGCGCTGGCACAGAGAAGTAGCCGGGGGAGGGGGGGGGGGCTGGGAGGCCGCCCACGTCGCAATCGCTTGGGGAACAGCGCGGCCTCGCGAGGATTATATTAGGTGGACCTCGGCGGGACTCACCTGGAGGTCTCTGTCTCAGAGCGCGCGCGGCGCCATTTAGATCGGCAACCAGGAGACGGAGCCAGCGTCGGTGCTCATCTAATTGAGTGAACGAACTCGGATGGCCGCGGCCAGAGATACGGTTCGGGCGACTGATCTAATCGCAGTCATCTCTGCACGAGCGCGCTTGCGCCGCGCGCTCTGCATTCAGCCCCGGCGAATACGAAGCGCCGGGACGGGCGAGCGAGCGAGCGAGCGAGCGAGCAAACGAGCGTCGGAATGTCTGGCTCTGCGTGGACAATGCTCGCTCTCTCCTGGCCGCTCGGCTTTGTGACGGAGCCAGCTGTGCGGCACCACCCTCCCCGCAGAGTTGCACCGCCAATTACGGAGCAAATTTGATGTCCTGTAGCAAAGAAGCTCCCTTGGGTTGCAGTTGATATTTTTGTTTTGTTTAAAGGGAGCATCACTTTCACTTAAAAGGGTTGAATTGGAGGATGGGTTTGGAGGTTAGAGGTTTATGGGGTTAGAGATGATGGTTTAATGGTTAGGACCTAGGGTTTTAGGCTGTGGTTTAGGGATCAGGGGATAGGGTTTAGTTTCACGGCTTATATTTGGGCGTAATATGTTAGATTGAGGGTACGGGGCTTGGGTTAGAGACAGAGTTGGACTATGATTTAGGGTTAGGTTTAGGCTTAAGGGCTAGGTTTAGGGGTTGGGGTCATAGAGGTTGGATTTAGGGTTACGGGCTTGAGTTAAGCTCCCCATGAACTCCGCTCAAATGGGCCCTCCCTCGCGACCACTACTGCCCGACCCTCTAACTTCACCACCACCTTCCACAACGCACGGACACGGCGGAGCGACTGCCCCCCCCCCCGGGCCTCCGCCCCACCGCTCCTCCTCCCTCCATCACCCACCACCCACCCCCCCCCCCCCGTGTGCCCCCCACCCCATGGGGTGAGAGGGAGGGGGTGGTCTCACGAGGACCGCCTACCGGTGCGGAGCTGCTTGATGCGCCCGGCGCTGGCCTGCGTGTCCACGGGGAAGAAGTCCTTGAACCACCGGATGTCGGGGTCCGGGTTGCCCGTAGCGGCGCACAGCATGGTGGCGGTGCGGGTCCGCTCCACCACTTTCAGCTGCGGCATCATGTCGATGCGCGGAAACCCGGGGGGCACCTGGTCCTCTGTGGGCGAAAGGCGACGAGGGGTGGGGGGTGGCAGTGCAGCAGGTTAGTTTGGGCGGTGGTCGCGGCCTTTGCTGAGCGCGGCGCTCGAAGATTGCTGCTGCACAGTCGACACGCAGCCGTCTAACTCGCTGGCCCCACCGCTGCTGGAACGCTTTTCTGTGGCCGTCCGGAACGCTCTTCCTTCCGATATTAGGAAGCCACTGGAGCTATGCACTTTTAAATAATTCACATTGAAAACTCGTTTGTTTAGAACTGCTTTTTGTGTTTAGTTTCTTGTCCTTCCCCCGCACCTCCGATTGGCGCGGTTGGCTACGTAAGTTGTGAAGGAAGTGCAACACACATACAGACATACCAAGACCCCCAGAAACGTTTAGCGGCCAGCAACAAACAGCACCAATCGAAAATTGTCACGAATAACGTGACACGCGTGTACAAGGGGCGGCGTGGCCGGCGCCACGCGCCTGGGTCGGCCGCGTTTGCCTCCCGAGTGCCGATGTTTCGCGCACACACACCACACCAGGTGCCCGGCAAGGCACAGGAACGGTTCGGACATTGCCCGCCACTGTCAACAGCCGTGGCCGGCAATGGAACTCGGGTGTCTGGGTTCCCTTAGCACAGCGGTGTAAACCACTGCACCACCGCTGCCAGCACACAAACAAAGATCCCCCGTATAGCCTTAACAGACTGTAGGGGCAAGTGCTGTTAGCGAGCACCTATGAAGGCCAGAACGTTACACGAACGAGGGGGTGGGTGGCCAGCACCACGCCCGACCGCCTTTGTCTCCCCAGTGGCGATGTTTACACACCGAACCAGGTACTAATTTAAGGCTGAGTCGACCTAGGGGAGGCCCAGGACCGGTTCAGACAATCGTCACTGGTGTTAGCCGTGAGTGGGAATCGAACCCGGGTCGCCAGGTTCATAGCGCAGCGCGCTAACCGCTACACTACCGCTCCCCATGAGCACACAAACACACGCACACACACGTGCAAACAAACACACACACGTGCAGAAGCACACACACGCACACACGGGAAAAAAGCCGTCGGGGCTCAAAAAGGTGACGTGTCTAAACTTGGCGTGAACGCCGCAGACAATGGTGTCACTCAAACACGGGCGACTTCGCAGGGTGACGGCAGGGGAGGTGGGAGGGGTGCATTACGGGGGCGCACAGAGCGGGAGCGCGAAGTGGCGAGTGGGGGGGGGGTCGGAGGCATACGAAGTGGTGTGTTGGAGGGGGGGAAACGCATAAACGCGCGCAAACAGCTTTTGCTTGCACGCGTCCTTGCGCGGGTATGCACACTCGGGGTCACATTGTCGCGAGTTGCTGAGAGACAAGGATTTCCCAGATAGCTGAAGCTCTTGTGTATGCCGGGGGCTGATGAATGGAGGCGAGTTGGGGGGCGTGGGGGGGGGGGGGCTGTGTACAGGGAAGTGGGAGGGGAGGGGGGCTGGTGGTGTGGTGGGGGAGATGGGGACTGCTCACAGAGCAGCTCTGATGAAAAGCAGCCAGAATAGCGAAACCTCCGGGGTCACGGGCGAAACATCCACGGCGACGCGAGCTCGCGGACGTGACCCCTCGACCCCTCCTCCTCCTGCTGCTGCGGCGGCGAGACGCGACGGGGCCACGGGACCGGAGACAACGAGCGCGGGACAGGCGGGCGGAGGAAGGAGGAGAGCCGTCGAGCTCCACGGCGCAGAGATGATCGGCCACTCGGGGAGACAAAGGCGGCCGACCGAGGCGTGGCGCTGGACACGCCCGCCCCCTTTGCACACGCGTGTCACGATATTCGTGACAATGTCGATTGGTGCTGTTTGTTGCTGACCGCTTAACGTTTCGGCGGGGGGGGGGGGGTTCTTTGTATGCCTGTATGTACGTTGGTGCAGGGAAAGGACAACAAACTCAACACAAATTTTGTATCACAATAAACAAAGAGCCATTTGGGGTTAAAAAAAACCAGGACAGGTGGCAACCGCACCCCACACCCCAGTACCCTCCCCCCTCCTCCAGGTGTCACCCCCCCAGCCCTTACCCCAGCCCCCCCAGCCCTCACCCCGCACCCCCCAAGCCCCAACCCTAGCCCACACCCCCCCCATGCCTTAGGGGGTGGGGGGGATTAGGGCGCGCGCACGCGAGCTGACGTCATGGGCCTGTGGACCGTGAGAAGCGAAGCCGATCCCAGGCCAGAGAGACATTTGCAGCGATGATGTCACCGGCGCTCGTTTGTCACGCGTCATCCTCCTTCTCCTCCTCAGAGGTTGCATCCAACTAAATATTAAATAATGATGACCATAGCGATGTGCTGCTCAAAATGGGCATTCGCGTCCCGATGCTCAACGTTCAGAGTCGGTGGGTGGGAAATTACACATTCCCATGGCCGGGAAAGAGTTGATCCGTAGGGTCAACCGCTGTTTACGACCTCCCCACAAAGTTGTACTAATTCTCTCTCTCTCTCTCCCCTTGCCTCCCCCCTTTCGTACCTCTTGCCACAGCAGCCCTTTCGCCTATCAGCATTTTCTTGCTGTGGTTGTTCCACCCGATGAAGATTGCTTGTGTTGCGATCGAAACGTCGTGACTTATTTTATTTCATACCTACGTGACTTTACCGAAAGAACCAAAGAGTATGGATTCCTGCAGTCGCGAAAGCTTCAAATCAAGATTGTACTCATTTTATCGACCCCCGGAGGGGTGGTGAGCGGAGGCAATCCGCCTCCCTCCGCCCTCAACCAGCAGCCGCTTGCTCCACCGCTGAGGGACAGCACGCGGTTTGATAATTATACCGTGCAGCACGTGTAATAATAGTGATTGAAATACGTTTGGAATTCACGCAATTGCGACAGCGCAAGCGGCTATCGTGAAGGCGCTGCTTCGCCTTTTAGTCTGCCGGCAAAGGGGCGATGTTGCCGTGAGCTTTCAACCCAATCTTTTAAAACATTTAACAGCGGGGCAGTGAAATACACCCGGCAGTATTTACCAGGGCGGACGCTCGGATCGATTTGTCAGAACGCAATTGCAAGGGGCGGAAAGCGCGCTCCCGGCTCGGCCATGTCACCCGCCAGATCAACACGTTGGGGAAGATCCTAAGTACGTATCATGGGATCTTTTTTTTTGTGCCAGTAGCAAAGTATGAAAAATAAGAGTAGGTTTTTACCCTTTCTGGCAATACGACAGATACCCTGGTGAGACTTAGGCCATGAAGAAGGCTGATATGGTGGAGGCCAATCAGCCTCAAAGACAATGCCCATATATTATAATCGGATCACGTCTCGTTTGCACGTTCAACACAAGCACGCGTGGATACTGCAGACTTGATTCCTTGCAAAGGGCATCTTTTTTGTACTTGCATGATGAAGATATCTTGCGCACCGTACGTAACCAACCGTTGCTAATCGGGGCCGCGTGTGCATGGGCTTACGTAACGCTTTCCAACGTGCGTGTTGTCTTCGCAAGGTATTTAACTGGCGGTGACGGTAGGGGGGGCAGAAGCCGACGGGTAGCTATGAGAGTTTTGATTGCCAATGCTTTGGTACGACGACAATGTGTCTGGGCCCCCACTGCCACTCGCGTCTAACAGAATCTCGCACGCGGACCCATCGTGGCGGCCACCGCCCCGCACCCAGTAAAGGACCGACACGACAGAGAGGGAGCAGCAAGCTAGATGCACCAAAAAATGGCTTTGAACACAAATCCCTTCTTCTGTTGCGACGCATTACAACGAGTGCTCCCGCCTGCCCGGGCGTGCCTTGAAAGCGTCGCTTCAGTCGCTTCACACCGCGAAACAAAACAAACGGATCGAGGGGGACCCTCCCTTCTCACCCTCTCTCTCCCCTTTTTTTGTAACCCCCCCAAAAATAGACACACAGCGTGGGCGTTGTTTGTTAGCGTTGCTTAATGCCCCCACTGTGTGCGTGCCTGCAAGGCGAACTGCCTCCCACGTCCATCGTTATAAACCGACCCCCCACCCCTCACCAGCAACGCTTCACAGACCGTGAGCGCCACCGCCACCTTTTGCCACGAGTGGGAATCACCGGAGGAGGAGGGGGAGGAGGAGGAGGGGGAGGAGGAGGGGGAGGAGGAGGGGGAGGGGGGCGAGATCCTAACGAGAGAGCGGGCACATTAAAAGGAGTCGGGGCCCCCTCTGTAATGGGCGCGCCGGAGTCACGCGGACGTATTGATTAGGGGGTTACACGCCGCCACAGCGCGCCTTGACGGAGAGTTTCCAAGAAACCTCGAAATCTGGAGCCAGAAATTGAGCGGCGACCCAGCATCCCTTAAACGTTTCCCTAATCCCGCCACCCCCCACCCAACCGCCTCTGCAGGAGAGGCTCCATGTGCTGTCCGAGGTGACACGTGGAGCAGGGCCCAACTAGGTGACTCCGAGGTCAGAGCGCTGATCTGGCACCGCAGGTATCACGGGTTCGAATTCATGTTTCAAGCCGCCCGTCATTACAGACCGCGTTCTCAATTGTAGCGAACGGATTTGTCTCGATGCGGTCACCGGCGACGGCACAGTAAGAAAATCGCGACGTGAAATGTGTGGTTCTTCGCTCATTTTTAAATAATAATAAATTATAATCAGATCTGAGATTTGGTAAATCTGTTTGAACGTCACGCGACGAAACTCGCTCTCCTATGGCCGTGCGAGTGGGAAGTGCTGCCCCTCGCACTGCTCGGTGAGATTTCGGATTCTCCGTCTCGTGACGCTGACGCCGACCGATATGAATGGAGATGTAAAAAAAACTAATCTCGAAATGAAAAAAAAACAAACAAGACGACGCATGCCACTTTCCCCACGTGCTCTCGGGTCACAATCCCGCGATGTTCGGCGTGACGTCCGAGGTTTCGCACCACGTGACCAGCACGTGGAGACAAACGTCGAACGTCGTGCGGAACAATTCGCTTGCGCGTCGGAGAGCCGCGCAGCGCAACGGCGAGAACCGACGTGGCGGAGATGACATGTGAATGTAGAATTTGTCATTTGCATTGTGCACCCAATTCT